CCATCCTGCCTGGGGGATGATTTCTCTCTTTCTGTCTATCTCTCTGGCGAGTACACCCACCCTACACCAAAAATATCTCTTAAAAAAAGGGGGTGGGGAACCAGCAGATGGCATAATGATTACATTGCTGGACTCCCATGTGGTCAACCATGATTTGAGTCCCAGACCCTGCAGCCTGTCTCTCTGGCAAGCATATGCGCCCTATAGTAAAAAAAAAAAATCTCTTAAAAAAAAAAAAAAAATGGTTACATTGCTGGACTCCCATGTAGTCAACTGCGATTCAAGTCCCAGGCGCAGCCGCTTAAAACTCATGCTGGGTGGATGTACGTGCATGCCCAAGATCCCGAGAGGAGAAGGGATTGCGGCATGGCCATCCTGCCTGGGGGATGATTTCTCTCTTTCTGTCTATCTCTCTGGCGAGTACACCCACCCTACACCAAAAATATCTCTTAAAAAAAGGGGGTGGGGAACCAGCAGATGGCATAATGATTACATTGCTGGACTCCCATGTGGTCAACCATGATTTGAGTCCCAGACCCTGCAGCCTGTCTCTCTGGCAAGCATATGCGCCCTATAGTAAAAAAAAAAAATCTCTTAAAAAAAAAAAAAAGAAACCATTCATATCTTTGTCATCACTCATCTGTAGCAATGCTGATGGGATCTGACCACTAGTCTAATAAAGAGGGCACTGTGTGTTTTTCTACTTGATAGGAAGTCCTTGTTTATTGCAAAATTAGCCTGGCATCTTGCTTTTACAAAACCCTTTGAATTATATATCTTTATGGGAGAAATATCATACATGGAACAACCTTTCCACTGAATTCTGTTTTTTTAAAGAATTATCTATTTTATTTAAATTTATTATTGTCACTATTTTTTAGCTTGCTATAGGGCACCTGCACTCACCATAGAGAGACAGAGAGAGAGGAAGGCAAGAAAGCAAGCTGCCAAGACCAAGACTCGAATCACAGTTGGCCATGTGAGAGCCTAGTGCCTCAAGCACCATGCCACCAGCTTGCTCCTCAAAGTTTTGATAAACCCATTTTCCAACGCCATTGCTTTAAACTTCGTTTTGCTTACTTACCTGTGTTTTTAAAAAATGTAGCATATGATAGAAAAGTAAGGTTTATGTCTCTTTTTAAATTCGCATTTGTTTTTGTTGATCTCTCTGGACTCTTAGTGACATTTTTCATAGCCTTAATAGAAGCTTCCCAAACAGTCTTTTATTGCACCAGGTATAAAGTAGATAACAAGATTGTATAATGCCAAAGGAACTTTTCATGAAGTAGTCCAGCCAGAGAAGAAAATGAGAATAATCAGTAAAGGCATAAAGAGAAAGCCATAAGGGCTAGTTGCATTATATTTACTCCAGGGTTCTTCATCCTGAACTCTCTTCCCTGCTCTCTCTAACCCACACTTATTTCGCACCAATACGTTATTGTCTTTTCTTGCTGTGTTTGATAGTAGTTACAGGTTCCTTTTGAAGGTCAGATTCAAACGATTGAATAGGTATAAACATACCTTGTTTTAGAAAGCCAAAATTAGAGACCCTTGTCAATCAGCATTCTTGAATTGTCTTTACTTAGAGGCACTGAATTAGGATTATGATGTCTAAACTATCTGAACGTGAATGTATCACGGAGTGTGGGATAGAATGTTTTTCAAGGTTTTTCATTGTCCTTTCCTGAAAGGATTTTTCCCCCAAATAGTTTGTACTTCATTGTGTACATTTTAATGTTTTTCTTTTTTATTCATGACAGTGTGTGTGTGTGTGTGTGTGTGTGTGAGAGAGAGAGAGAGAGAAAGAGAGAGAGAGAGAGAGAGAGAGAGAGAGAGAGAGAGAGAGAGACAAGTTCCAGACCTGGAGGCTTGAAAATGATGCTGGGTGCATGTGTGTGTGTCCCCAAAATCCCAAGAGAAGACTAGAGGAGGGAATGTGGTGTGATCATCCTTCCAGGGATTGATTTTTTACTTTCTTCCAGAAAGACAGAGAGAGATAGAGTGACAGAAAGCGAGAAATGAGCATCGTCCACAGGTCTGGTCATGCCACTCTCCCTTTCCTCCAATGCTCCAGCCCACTGGGCCTGGTACTCTCATGTGCTTGCTCAGTGTCTCTACAAACTGGTCTGGGAGTTCGAACTGCAGCCATAATGGTGAGATCTAGCTCTTCTTGAGTGATGCATTTCCATTGTGTCATGGAGCTAGCTCTATACGTCACAATTAAAAGTTCATAGTTAAATAGTATAACAATTGATTAGAATTTTTTAAAGTAAGTTTACCGAGATGTTTATGTTTTAAAATATACAAACAAATTCAAGCCATAACTCACAAAGAAATGACTAGTTTAAATGATGAATAACCAGCTCAGGACTACTAGTCTGGGGTATGTAGTCAGAATCATTGATTTATGTTATTTAGCTGGAAATGCTGTTAAGTATCCAGAGACATTACCTTAAATGGGTAAAGGCCAGATGCCCAGGGTCATTGCTGGTGTGAGAGGACAATTGTTTTTGTTACTCCTCTGAAGGCTGGCATACCTTGAACATAGTACATGGTGGTAGTTAATGTCAACATTTATGAAGGTGGGCCAGCAGGGTGGTGTGTGGTTAAGGCGGCTAGATCCCACATGGCTATCCAACATTCTAGTCCCAGACCTGGCTGCTTGAAAAACACACTGCACATGTGTGTGTGTGCCCAAAATCCTGAGAGGAGAATGGAGGAAATGGGATTGCAGTGTGGTCTTCCTATGGGCTGGGGGTGGGAAGTGTTTCTCTCTCTGTCTCTCTGCTTCTCCCTCCGGCAAGCACACGTACTCTATAGCAAATTAAAAAAAAATTATGAAGTCATACTAGGTGGCAGAAAATGCAGTAAGCCCTGTGTGCACATGAGTAAATATTGCTGAGTTGAGGGAGTAAGTGCATTACTGGTCAGTCTAGCTTCCAACAGGCAGAAAAGCTTCTGTTACTCAGCTAATTAAGTAGGCCTAGGTATTGAAGGGAATTTCATTATTTTTTTTTTTTTCGTGAGTACACTTTGACAATATTTTTGACATCTCTTGACATTAAATATTTAAATAGAATCAATAATGCTAAAAGTTCTGTTTTCTGACATATTTTATTTTTAAAGGTATTTTAACAACTTTACAACCCAAGCCCTCTTTGATGCCCTATCTGGACATAAAACATAATTTGTAACAACACTGTAAGGTAAATTTACTCAAGAACTATTTTAAAAATTGCCGTTCTACCTAATATCATGATCATCTGGGAAATAATCATTCATGATTTTCTGATGATTATTTAAAGTATTGGTGATCTCACATATTAGAGTGAATTTACCACTTATGAAATATTAATTATTCATAAGACCAACAGGTGTTTATTCATTTCATTATGAAAACTTTGCGGAATAAATAAACCTACTATAATTACTATATATAGTAACACAGCCACCTGATTAAACAAATAGCAAACTATTATGAATTTTATAGTGCATACATGATATAAGTTTTATAAATGTATCACATAATTATTCAAAACATAATACAGTAACTGTAATACCCTCACTTAAAACCTATGCTTCTGGCTATACATACTTAAACATACCGAGGAACATGCACAAGCATATGTCTGCTGCCTTTCTTGTTTTTTTTTTTTTTTTTTTTTTTTTGGTCCATGTTCTGTGTTGGTTTCTCTAGAACTCAGAATTCTTTTTTTTGAGAGGTTTTTTCCTATATGGCACGTGCTCACCAGGAAGACAGAGAGAGACAGAGAGACAGAAAGTGAGAAATCACCCCAGAGTGGAGAAATGACCACTCCACAATCCCTTCTCCTCCATTTTCCTCTTGGGATCTTGGGCATGCATACACACATGCCCGGCATGAGTTTAAGCCACCAGGTCCGGGACTTGAACCATGGTTAACTACATGGGAGTCCAGCGATGTAGTTCCCCCCCCCCTTTTTTTTTTTTTCATGGGAGTTCAAGGATTTAGGTCCCCCCCCCCTTTTTTTTTTTTTGAGAACTCAGAGTTCTTTAAAACAGAAACCTTGTCTCTTAAATGCCATAGTGGTAAGGATATTTTGATAACTAGTTTTTTAAATATAAAAGATAATGTTTATAAATTATTATCTTTAAAAATTTGCCAGAGGTCATGTGTGCTCGCTGGAGAGAGAGAGAAAGAGAGAGGGAGTGAGAAACCACCCTGCCGTGGACAATGGCCACACCATAATCCCTTCTCCATTTCTCTTTTTCAGGATTTTGGGCATACATGCACACCTGGTTGGTGTGTTTTCTAGACGTGGGTCCACGACTCAAACTACGCACTTGACCATGTGGGACCCAGCTGCCTAAACCACTGTGCTAGTAGTTGGCCCCGTTTATGAAGTTCTTTAAATGGTTTGGTTTCTTACCTTTTTGTAAAATATTCAGCTAAATAAGTGAGTCATTAAAATGGAGAATTCACATATTCTAAAAAAAGGTTTCTTTAAAGGGAAGAGACATGTTATGCTTATTATCTTTATAAAGGTAATATTCACCCCTATGTCTTAAAATATTGAGAATATCCTTTATGTGAGAAGTACTCTGTGAAAACATTTATACTCTGTCTTTGGTTTGGCCCGCCAGTCAAATTCTCTTAAAATACTTATTTTTATTTTGGAAAATACCTTAAAAAATTACATGGCCCAATGAAAATATTATTTTGCTAAGGGAATTTGTTTGTTTTATATTAATGTTGTTTTAACATTGCATCTACAGTCCAATAATAAAAAAATATTTAAGATATATTTTACTGCATGTTAAACTGATGTTTTGTTTATGTCCTTAACTGAGACTTCTACTAATCTAGAGATTGCTTATAACACTGCCACCCACATTTCACAAGTAGCTGAACATGGCATTTTGTTTCAGAAGTTTCTAGCAGAGCATGAAGTCACTTGGAGGTTCAGAAGGAGTATTTTGAGGCTAACTTTAAGGACTCTGTGTGTGTCTTTAACATGCAGCCCCTGTTCTTCCTGGAGCCTACCAGCAAGGCCACTCCCAAGGCTATGGGTACATGCACCAGACCAGTGCTTCGTCCATGAGGTCAATGCAGCACTCACCAAACCTAGTAAGTGTCGACTGGAAGTGTTCTTTCCTGTCTGTTCTTTCCATTTCACCTGAGAATGGGCCAGCCTGTCGGTAGCACAGTACTTAAGCTCTGTGCATTGAGAGCCAGATTCCCACCTGGCCAACCGTAGTTTGAATCCTGGCTGTGGCAGGGCCCTGACCCTGAGCACATGTCTGTGGGCCTGCCCAAAATCTTTATGGGAAGAAGAAATGGAGGAGAAGGAGTTACAATGTGACCATATCCCATTGAGGGCTTCTCCGTGTGTGTGTCTGGTGAGCTCACACCCCCTCAAAGACACATGAAACAGAATTAAATCAAATATTGGGCTTGGTCATCTGAAGATAATCATGATGTGTTGTCATTTATACAATTCTTTGGAAGGAAGCAAGAAAACCTTGCAGAGGTAAACTGTTGAGAGATGAAGTTACTGGCAAGCATTGTATGAAGTAAAGCACACAAAGGATGTGGTAGAACAGCATCCTAATTGTTACTGCATGATCAGTAGTAGCTCAGTCAAGATCCTCATTCAGGCCTAGAAAAGCACGTTTGTTTAATGGCCGTATTAATGAGTTCATCTTGATGTTAATTAAAATGGCCATAAAGGCCAAAATATGTTTTCAAATCCCACTATTGGAAATCACAAAGTACTGACTTATCCTTTAAATGTGAAGTTGGGAAGCAAAGTTCAAGACCTTCTGGTCACACTGGGCATGTCCTACCGAAGTTGCTGCTCTAAGCCCTGGACTCAGCTCCTCGGTCTTTGCCTGAACACTTAGGCTACTCTTCTAAGCTGGAAGGCACTTTAATGGCTCTGATGCTCTTGTGTCCCATCCAGTTTCCACAGTCTATGAATGCACTTGATATTGAAATTGACTGATGCTAATACTAGCTGAACTCCTCGCCTTAAACAAAAGTAAATTTAGAACTCAATTTAAAATGTCCTCATTGTAACAAGGACTTGGCAATATGAACCTCAATATTCACAACACATATATGCTAAGTCTTCATCACTGTGATAAACCTATAGTGAGCATATTATATTTTTTTCCTTTTCTCTGTTGGACATTTAAAAAAATAATTAATTTAATTTGTTGTTATTATTTATTCCTTAGTTGTACCAGAAAGAGATAGAGAATGAAGAGAAAGTAAGAAAGCAAGCCACCAAGTTCAGGACTCGAACTATGGTCGGCCATGTGGGAGTCCAGCACCTTAACCACCACCTTAACCATCATTTTGTTGGCCCCTGTTTGACATATTTTTAAGGGGAAATGAAAATTCTTAGTACCTACTTTAGAAATAGAAAAGTTTATCACCTTTACTGGGGGCTAGAGAGCTATTGGGACTTGGAGCTGTCTCTCCCAACATAGGGTAGATTTTGATTTCTTGAAGAATGTGGAAATAAGAGACTCTTCATAATCTAAGATTTCTGAGATTATCTGAAGCAGAAGGGCATTAGCTTTACTGTTTTGAAGCCCATTTTTTTTTTGACTAGCAAACTATGTATTTAGTGATTTTCTCTATCCCCATCAGAGCTCCCCAAAATATCACACTTTTTGTTAGACTAGTAAACTTGAGATCTGAGATACACACAATTAGTTGGTAGGCTCTGGTTTCTAGATTTTTAGAAATAAATGTGCTGGGAAACACTCCTCTGAGCTACTTTATGTGTGGGCAGGTTTGTTTTAAATGGGATTTGTGGTTATGACTGTTCTGGTATTCATCCCATCAACCCTTCTGCCTTTCCCAGAGGACCTACCGGGCCATGTATGATTACAGTGCTCAGGATGAAGACGAGGTCTCCTTCAGAGATGGCGACTACATCGTCAACGTACAACCCATCGACGATGGCTGGATGTACGGCACGGTGCAGAGAACTGGGAGAACGGGCATGCTCCCAGCCAATTACATTGAGTTTGTTAATTAATTATTCCTCCTTGCCCTTTGAGCTTTATTCTAATGTACTCCAAACTTAATCTTTTTAAAAGATAGAGAAGATACTTTTAAGACAACTTGGCAGTTATTTTACAATAATGTATCCTTACTTTGACAGTTAGACACACAGGTACCAGGACAAAGGAATGACTTCTGGGCTGACCATGGCAGCATTTTCAGTATGCCTGTAAACAAAACCATCATGTCTGAGACCTGGTGCTGCTAATTGTGTCTGTGGTTTCCTTTGAGTGGCTGTTGAACCCTTCTGGGAAATGTATTTTTGTAGACTTTAATAGAGATGTTGATTGTCCCTTCAATGTAATGAGTAAATGAAACTTCTTAGCTGTCACTTTGGAATCACCAGAAGCCAATTCTGTAACTCAGTTATGCAGTCAATAATTTCAAAACTATTAGCTTTTGAGTCATTAGGCAAGTTCCAATTCGAGTGAAAATTGCCTAATATAATACATGTAAGCAGAAGCAGATCGACAGTCTGGTTGAAGTTATAGTGAGTGGTGGTCTTAGGGACTTAGAAACTTCTACCAAACAGAGAAATTTCCTTGCTTCCTAGGCCCACTGGGGTCTATTTATTTCTCATTTGTACCAAGGCATGTCCTACTCTCCACTTACATTCTCTGGACCCAAGTATCCACTTGGGTCCACAGAATGTCAGGACCAAATAATATCACAGCTACTCTGCAAAGGATGAATTTGAATGTCATCTATCTTATTTCCCTAGTAGCCTTTACCCTGTTGCATGTCACGTAGGTTCAAACTTCTGTAACATAGACAGCTGCTCTGCCCATTCCTCTTATTCAAGCAAAAAGTGTGGCTGATGCCTCAAAGCCCTTTCCTCTAGCCGCCAGCTCATCAGAAAAACATATTCTGAAAAGTTGCTTGAGATTTTCCTGCTGCATTGCACTCTAGTTTTGAAGGATTTATACCTTAGGAAATACATGTCTACTCTAGTAAATAAGTGTTTATTGAACAGCTTTCATTACCTTAATGCCACTGTTGATATAAAAGTGAAAAAAAGGTAACAGAAGCCAATGACAAAGTCAGTGGAAAAATGGAATTTGGAGTGTGCTGGGGGGTGGGATGGAGGGGAAGTCAGAAAAGAAAAAGTTACCAACTCCCCATTGAGATGGCCTGATTTCATAGAGATGAAAATGATGCTCAGATTCTGGAATGGAACTCTAGCCACTAAAACTGGTTCATCAAAAGACTTCCTTTCCACTTTCTGGTTTTATTTTCTGAATCATCTTCATGGGCTGAGATAAGAGAGTTATCAGGGATTTTTCAGTGCAGGACCAGCAAGCTGTTCACTAAGAAAGAAATCATCATGTTTTGATTTTCAAATGAATGACTTTGCAGGATTCCCAGCCATGAGTTGTAGCCTTTGCTAGCGGGTTCTGACTTTTCAAGGTCACCTAGAGGTTCAGGTCCATGAGCAGCTGTGCTTTTCTGAGTGTGTCCTTTCTTGTGACCTGCAACAGGGTAGCATGCATGTCAAGTCTAATGCTGTAATTGTGATGACATTGAAACAAAGTCACAAAAATGTGATAAACTGTATGGATCTTGGGGATATCTCCCATATATAACATGTTCAAGGGAATTAACAACACATCCCCAAAACATCTTTTATTGAAATAATTACAGTCCAAAGACCAAAGCTGCTTCTATACCTTTAAAAAATAAGCACATTCTTTTGAAAATCTCGTCTTATTTTATTAGGTGAAAAGAACTTTATTATACTAAAACTGCATCTATATGGCACTGACTTAAAATCAAAAAGAGAAACAGATAACTAGAGATTTTTGGGAAGAGGTTTTACAAATGAACAAATGCCCAGCTTGATTGATTTTTTTTTTCTCATAGAAATGACCAGTCATGATTCAATTGACTAAACCCCATATCTGTTTTGATGTCTTGTGCACAATCCTACAATAACTGAACTTGGAATATTTTTGCAAAAATATCTGTGCATTACAGCTATTTAAGCCTGCTTGATTTCATGTATTTATGTTTTTCCCAGCCAGACCATGGTTTTGTGATTATAAAAAAGAGTAGTTGTTGATTAAATTTTCAGACGAAATGTAGGACAGGTACAATGTTTTTTATAAAGAGCACATTCTTAAGTAGCTCAAAGGACACGGATTGTGATCTGGAAAAGTTATCAGAAAGTGGCAGCTTGATATTTCATGTTTTCTCATCTACTGATTTCAAAATCAGATTCACTGAATGTACAAGTCAGTACATTTTTGGGTAATCAGTCTTCTAAAATTTTCATCTTCACATAGTGTTTGCATAGCGAGATGTTTCTGCTTTGAGTCTCTAGGAGTTAAGATCTGATCAGAATTGAGTCAGAGGGCACTTATTGTACAATAAATTTGAGGCAGAAGACATTGCATGCTCTCAAAGTTATAATTCGATAGTGTTTGCGTTGTCACTAAAGCTTGTCAGGAGAGTTATCATCTCAGCAGAAATATAGGAATCTTGTATGTAAAATACCAAAGTGCTATTTTTACAGCATCATTTTAAAAAACTACATTCTTGAACAACTTTTCCACTTTCCCTTTGCGTCCTCCCCACCTTCAATCTGGTGTCAGGTATCTCAGACCTAGGTACCTCTGACAGCTAAAGAAACGTTAAAAATAAAGCCTTTAAAAATCAAGTTTGAGAGGACTGTTGTGAATGTCCAAGCACAGAGAGCATGCATGCACTTGCTTTCCTAAATCTGATGTATTCTCAAGCCCAACCAAAGCACAAGGAGCAGTTTGATACACTTTTAAATGGTTCTGAAAACAAAACTATAAGTGGATCAGATCTCTCTTGAGTGAAGTATAGCAACAGAATATATTACTTTTGTTGTAAGTTTTTGTAGTAAATGTTTTAACCAATCCTTGTTCTCTCGAAAGCTTTCTCTTTCTAACCCATGGCAAAATGAATTCTTCATGTCTTCTTGTTATTGTGTACACCACCACAGTATAGCCCAGTTTGAAATATTTATCTGGTTGTTTGATCCTCAGGGAGGCCTTGCATCTTAGCAGGCCTTCCTGACCTCCAGACCACACAGGGATTTGCAAGCACAATTTTCCAGAGCACTGTGTATGACCATGGATGAGGTTAGGGCCAGCTCCTCTCTTGCCACGAGGTACTAGCTTGAGGACGATGAAGATGAGGTTGTGTCTTTTTTTTTTTTTCATCTTTTTTTCCTAATCCTCTCTGTGTTGAGCTTTGCAACATTAGAAATTAGGAAGAAGAATTTTCTTAAAAAGGTAATAGAAGTTCAAGAGATGCACCTCATTTTCAGGTTATCCATCTCTACTGGAATGTTTCTAAGGAAAATAAAATGTGTGTAATCTTCAAAAACACATCCCTACAGAATGTGGATACAGTTTATACCCAGATGATAATACAGATACATACAAGATAGGTGCCTTTTGATTATCCTTGTTTATCTATTATGGTCTTGGGAAAAAAACCAAGCTAGCAAGCTTCTGCCTATTCTATAGTAATATTTTATTATACATGATTGCTATTTTTGTGGTGGGAAAGCCCATTCCTGACAGATATTAGTGGTAGTAGTTGATTTTATTTTACCTTTAAAGAATTAGAATTGGAGAAAATGTTGACTTCTATCAATTTCCGAAAGGTTTTTTGTGGATTTATATAGAGCTGAGTTGTATAAACATTAACTTTAGGTTTGGGATTTAAAATACTTATTGTAAGATAGAATACTTATTAGCCCAAATTCACTACACAAATTGAACTTTACTTCATAAATTAATTATACCTTTGCTAATTGCTTTTGATCATCTAAAAGTGGCTAGACTGTGGTGGTTTTGCATAATGTGACATGGAGGTGAGAAAGCTTTAGTGAAGTAAGAAGCTATCTAAACTGATTCAAGGATGCTGAAATGAAAGTCTCTTTCTGAAGTATCCCATGCCCTTTACGTTCTTTTCTAAGAAATTAACTGTCAACTCTTGATGGAAAAAGTCAAGACATGGAATGACGCTGCTTTGGCCCTCATTCCATGATGCTTTTAGACTGCGGGAATCCACAGGCTGGAGGGATCTGTGGCCAATTTCCTTCCCCATTGTGCATATCACTTCAGTATATTCATGGCAATCCCGTGTGCTTTTTGTGTTTGATGTATGGTATTCAGTTTGCATAGTTATTTCTTTGTAATCAAGTTGCTGTTAAGAGTGACTTTCTTAAAAGGAAAGGAAAAACTGCACCACAGTCCCATTCTTCAGGGTGTACACTGAACTGCTGAGCATGGAGGAAGCAGCACCAAGTGTGTTACTTGCATGATGTGGACTGTCGGTCACTTGACCTGGGATAAAGTGAGGAAAGGAACCATGGTGCAGTTTGGCTTTCTTTGCTTTGAAAGATGTAGAATTGTTGATTAATTTGCAAGACTACTAACTTTGAGAGCGTAATAGTTTTTGAAGGACACATTTAATGGTTTTTTTTTTTTTCAAATGAAGGGGCTTACAAAATGACACAATGTTATTAATATAATTTGGCTTTTGTTATGCAAATTGTTAACACCAGCTATTAAAATATATTTTAGTAGAAATGCTTTAATTCATGTTTTTTTCCTCTACACTGTGAATCTTTAAGCCTTGGTGGACTAGAGCAACATCATGCTGTCCAAAGGACTAACCTATGCAAACTAGTTCACATTTTAGTGGATGTCACAGTAAATGTGTAATAAGACCTTATTTCCCCCTACATAATGTACTGCGGCCCTGAAATAACACATTAAGCCTAGCATCACATGCATACAGTATGGTCACTCAAACCCTTCAAGGCTACCATAATCATTAGCATTATACTCGTGTAAAAGCAAATCACTGATTTCTCTATTGAAATTACTTGAACGATGTCAGAACAAGAGTGACAGATGGGCACGTTGGCCATGGCTTTAATGTGGTCCCTAGAAATGGTCTCCTATGATGGAACTGTGTTCTCAGATGCACTCTCTTCAGGGTCTTAAGATTCTGTGTCTTCTTTCTGTATTTGTAAAACATTATAACGCAGTAATTTCCTATCTCTACACACTTGGTTTGCTTAAATAAATGCAGGATATAAAAAAATGGTTCGATTTCTTGGCTCTCACCGTGGTTTTTTGGAGCGTGGATCATTAGACACAGGCCGTGCACTCTGAGAATACTCTGAGTAGTAAGTTCATCATGACAACTCACATCAGATCATGTCAAAGGTAGGTGTTGACCTCAGTGTGTTTACACGGGTGAATCATTCCAAATGTGTCTTCCTCCCCCAAATAAACTTAGTTTTAAGTGATAACAGTATTATACTTTTTCAAGCTCGTTTTCTTTCTGATTTTCTATCAAAGAAATGCAATAAAGCCTATTGTAGTTAACTCCTTTCAAGATTAAATTCCTCATATGTCCTCAATTGTATGATTCTAATTTTCTTGTATTCTTAAGATGAAAGAAACAGCTTAGAGCAAAGAATAGAAAATGCACAAATTGAATACATGAAATGGGAAGATATTCTGGTTTCTCAGCCAAGAATGGTTCGTTTATCATAGAACATAATTGCTTTTTTCCCCAATTTTTTCCATAATTGAAAAAGTGAGTTAGTCACTGTTTTTACCCTCCTATAAATCTATCAAGATTTGGATCTTAGCCTTATTGTATCATTTTGCGAATGTTCCTCTTTGGCACGCAATCCTTCCTAATTGTTAACTGATAAACTCTGTGGATGACATAGCCTCATAGAATAAGCACTAGCTCCACATCTTGAATTTTCTGTTTTGCATATTCCAAAAGTATGAAATGAAAATGTCTGAGATATTATTAATCAAACATACTCATGTTATTTGAAAATACAAAATAGCACAGTTACTTACTTGAAGAATATATTTTCTTTTTCTCTCTCCAAGATTTTTTTTTCATCCATGATTATAAATGTATTCTTTGGAACTCAGGAAATGAACAATTTAGGAAGATTGTTTTCTGACCTAAAATAATTGAGGTTTAGAATACTCTATACTTTATCATTTTATTATCCTAACTTAAAAGTTAGTTTATAGATAATTAAGACATGACTAACCACCAGACGCCTCCAAAAATAACTTTTTATAAAATACTCAGACATAATCAATTAAATGGTAGATAAAGGAGAATTTCGTTGTGTCCTTAATCTGCTTCTTTTACACAGAGGGCTTGAATAAGAGTTTTGTGGTGGCAAAACCTGGATATGGTCCAAGTGTGAACTTCAGCTCCTTTCTGTAGTTCTAAGCAAAATCCTCAGGCCTTTGTCTATTATATTTGTATCTGAGAGCAGCAGAGTTCTGATTAAAAAAAAAAAAAAAGGGAATGGAAAAAAAGACTTTAAGGGTGAAAAGTCAACATTAGAACAAAGGGCCCAGTGGCTGATTTTGTGTTTACACCATGACCTTATGACCTTTGTACCTTTTACTTGTTTATTTGAGCAGCAAACATGAAAGACTACTAGACAGAAATAAAGAAATGAGCAAAATCTGAGCTCCCATTATTTCACGTGAGATAATAGGGAACTTTTGTGCATCCCAAATTTAGTGACCAGACTGCTCTCTTTCTCTCTTTTAATTGCCAGAAGGTGCATGTTCTCGCATGTGTTAGAGAAATACAGACAGAGAGAGAGACAGACAAACTATCCCTCAAAGGAGCGTGGTCACATCACAGTCCTTTGTCCTCTCTCCCATCAGGATCATGGGCATTTATGCACATGCACCTGGTATGTTTTTCAAGCTGCAGGGGCCAGCATTGGAACCATGGACCCTGTGGGATCCAGCTCCCTACGCATTGCCTTTAACCGCTGTGCTCTAGGGCTGGCCCCAGACTGCTCTTGAAGTGAACTAGTTTCTTTCTGATCTAGACTCAAGATAGCTGCACTCCCTGCCTTTTTCAAATGAATGTTTGTTACCTGTGGTTACCCATGTTCTGTCCCATGTGATCTCACTTCTCTGGTTACCACTGATCGGACTGAGGTAACCCACGAGGACTATAGAGAACATTGTCCAGCAGAAACTGGCCCACATCTCCCTGTAGAGGCCTGAGTTTGATCAGCAGAGCAAGCTGGTTAACTGTTTGAATGATTAAAATTTAGTAGATGCAGATCAAGAAGTAAAGAGGAAGCAAAAGCTGTAAGCAGAAAGTTTGAGTGAGAGAAAGCCATTAGATAGGGAAAAGATATGAGGGGATTTCACAAAGGTCATGGAAAAGGGGGCTTAAAGTATGAGTTTGTTTTGGAACCAAATAAATTTTAAATCCATGAAATAAATTTTTTTCATAATACTCATTTTTCAGGAGCTTTTAAAAAGTGTTTTTTAGTTATTTCTTTTGAGAGACAGAAACAGAGAGGAAGGGAAAG